TGAATCTGATTGGTCAATAATTGAGGTGTTTAAAGACTAATTAATAATTAATAACAAATATTTTTTCTTTAATATTATATTTTTAAACATATGTAAGCATTAGATTTACAAAAGTTAGACATTTCTGAATCTATTTAATTACATTTTGTAATGAAAGAAAATGTTATGTTGTTACAATGAATGTTATTTTTCCTTAATCAGGGGTTTGCAGAAATTATTTTATTTCATAATATTTTATTTTATTTGTTTATATTTTGATTAATATCAAAATAATAATAATAAATATTATTATAAATAATATATATATATATATATATATATATAATATATATATATATATATATATTTGTTAAGTATTAATGCAATGATCTATAATTGGACAGTTTTTTAAATATAATTTCATTTAAAATATTACATTTTTAATAAAAAAATGTTAGCTGTCATTGTCTTTATATTAAAATAAATTAAATATTTATATTCATATTTATATCAATAAAATTACATTTTAATTAGTTTTGTTATTAAAGTGATAATTGGAAATTATTTGTAATAATTCATTATTCGTATGTTAGCTGTTATCTTGTAGAATTGGGTGTCTTAACTTGAAATTTAATTTAAATTCTCAATTCAGGTTAATAAAAATACCTAAAAATAAAAAATGTGTACAATAAAAATACTCAATGTGCAGGGGCTGTGTACAAAAAAAACTAACCATTGAATGTTTTAATCATTAATTTTTTATTTTTTTATTTTTTTTAAAGAGTGTATATAATAAATTAACTTAAAACTATTTAGGTTGTACATGTCCAGATCACTAAAAAGGTTGGGAATGCCTATATTAGTTTTCATATTTCTATAACATTTCTCCATTGTTCCCAGATTATGCTGAGCCTGATGTAGTAGCAGGTGGGCAGATGATGGGACACACATTCCGACCCCCACTGGAAGAGGGCTACACCGTCCCCTTCTCCCTCAACCACTACGACACCCCTGGACAGCTTCCCGAATATGCCCACCCCCTGCCTCCCGAACCAGAATATGCAACACCTTTCAGCGAAATGTCCACAGACTCAACACTGGACAGCCGACAGAATCTACCTGTGTGTCGATCCACACAGGCTGCGAGAGCAGAGCTGAGCCAACAACAATATGACTGCCCCGCACACAGAGTGATCTCAAACGGGTACTGTACTCCAGTCTCACATGGTACTAGCCAACATAAGGCTAGTGTGATCTACTTTGAGCCCCAGACAGTAGAACCACTATTGCATACCTACCATGAACCACTTTGAGCCAACATGGCATCTCCTACTGAAGCCAGTTTGTGACGTTTGTGCTGTTATACTGCTGTTTATAATGTAACCTAATGACTTATGCTGTGTTAGATAGCATCAGGGATCAGCATGTAACAGGAAATGATTATTTGGGTGGTTACAAAAATGTAGGATATAGGAGAAGTGCTTTTATAAGGACAGCTGCATTGTTCAGATAACCACTGAACCTGTATGTGAATATTTTTTATTTAATATAAATGTGGGTGTATTTTATATCTGTATCTAATCAGAATATACTCCAAGAGGATTTGTGTCTGTGATTTGAAACGACTAGTATTCAAAAACATTTTACATTTTTTATAGTTATATAATAAACTCGTGACATTTTTCATACCACATCTCAAGTGTTGATACAACACCCCTCTGTTGTTTTGCGTATTATAAATCTAATTTAAAAGCATATTAAAAAATCTCGCTCTCTGTCTACACACACACAAAGACATGCAATCTTCAGAGGTTTTTGAGAAATTCTTCCTTTTTTTTTTTTTTTTTTTAAATAAACCCCGCCCTGTTACATAACCCCACTTCCGTTTCATATGAACTTGTAAGACAACACAAATCGAATCAACACTGGATCGTCCGACTCCTACCACATTCAAATAGGAAATCTTTCTATGGAAACCAACAGGTACAGGTCTTAAATGTAAAACTTAAAGAATTGTGTATTTAACTCATTCTTTAACTCATTTAACTTTAACTCATTTCTTTAACTTAAACATGTAATTGAACTGTAGCCATCTGAATATCAATTATAATTCAATAGGTTCTCTCAGGTTCTCTGGTCAAATCTTTAGGGATCCTGGAGCAATATCAGCTCTCATGAAGTGCCTGTACAGTTTTAAAATCATCATGATAGGTGACGGTAATGTGGGCAAGTCATGCATGCTGTATCGATACATAAATGGCTTGTTTCCATTGAAAATATACTGTACCATGGGAGCGGACTTCAGAAATCACATCCTAGAGGTGGAGCCGGGTGTGAGAGTACAGCTACAGATTTGGGATACAACCGGTAATGAAGCGTTTTGGTAAGCAGTGAGAATACACATCATCTGCATGCTCGCCAAAATTCTTTTAACCTGTACTTTTAAAGCCCAAAATAATAATTTGAATGAACTGACAAAATGCCATATAATGAAAGAGAGTGATTCAGTTGTTTCAATTAAAAAGGGCCATATTTTATACATATGTGACCCTGGACCACAAAACCAGTCATAAGGGCAGGGCTGTACAGTGCTACTAAATAACTGGTCTGTGCGATGAATAAATTTACCACTGTAGCACGTGCGATACAGTTTTGCATGTTCATAACACAGCCGCTTAATAGTGTGAAGTGATTTCGTTGTGCTTGTTTGTGTGTGTGAGATTGATTATACTTGGTAGTTAGGGAGAAAATCACCTTTAAGTCCGTCCAAATTAAGTCCTTAGCAATGCATATTACTAATAATAAATTAAGTTTTGATATATTTATGGTAGGAAATTTACAAAATATATTCATGGAACATGATCTTTACTTAATATCCTAATGATTTTTGTCATAAAAAAAAAATCAATAATTTTGACCCATACAATGTATTGTTGGCTATTGTTACAAATATACCCGTGTGACTTATGACTGGTTTTGTGGTGCAGGGTCACATATATTAGCATATTTTATATATTGGTTGAGCACCTTTAAACACAGGGATTTTTTGTTTTTTTACTTTCATATTTCTCAAAAAAAAAAAAAAAATCATCACTTAACATAATGGAAATGTATCTGGATTTACTTACGTAATATGACAATATTGAATAAAACACTACAGTGACAATTATAATCAAGTATTTTTAAAGTCAACATATCAAAAGTGTACTTCTTTAAAGCATAACCAATAATAATAATAATAATAATAATTTGACATTATTACAAAGTTCTCTTTATTAGGCCTATGTAATTTTTTTTTTTTTTACTTTCATATTTCCAAAAAAAAAAAAAAAAAATCATCACTTAACATAATGCACACTGGTTGTTCAACCTCACCAACTTATGTTTTCAGGAAGCATCAGCTTGTCCAGCCTCACATTCCTCATTCAGCTGGATGCCTGCTGGTATTTGACCTGGGCAATCGTGAGTCTTTCAGAGTCATTGAGCGTCAGTACACAGAGGTGTGTAATAGAGTGAATCCATACACTGTCCTTTTTGTACTTGTGGGACACAAGTGTGAAAGAAAAGAGCGGGAAGTGAATCAAGAGGAGGTGGAACAGTTCGCAAGTGCATTGGGAGCACCATACATCGAGGCCTCGGCTAGAACGGGTCACAATGTGGCAGAAGCTTTTGAGCTGTTGACCCGACGCATTTATCAGGGCTATCTGAGTGGAGAGGTAAGCTTGCATGAAAGATGGGGCAAGATTCACAAAGACAAGCCAGCTGAAAATAAGACCAATAAGAATGAGCCAGCTGAAAACAACAAATGTTGTGTCTTATAAAGTCAATGTGAAACTGTTTTTTTTTTTTTTCATCTTTGGCCATTCAAAAGTAGCCATGTATTTTGATGAAAATTCTATTAAAGTGCCAGTGACTGATTTCTGATTTCAATACTTGATGTTTATAACTAATATCTATGTTTGAAAATATAATATAATCTTTACCAAATAAACTTGTGACATTTTCATACCTAATTTCACGTGATGATTCCATTCAAGTGTTTTGTGGTTATTTTTCATACATTCATATTTATTCATTTTTTTATTCATTATTTTTTGTTGTTTGTTATACATTTTTGTTTATTAAATATTTAACTCATTTAATTTTGCTTTTAGTTACTATAACGAATGTTGTAGTACTCAGCTTTTACCAAGTTTAAATACACAGCACAGATATTTTTATCCAAATAAGAGCAGAAAATACAAAAAGCCAGCAGATCCTAGTCATTATAGCTGGTTGCGTTATGGAAAATATTGTAGGCAACGTCTTCTAGTGGCCATCGAGAAAAATGCATGACATTACAAGCTGGTTTAAAGAAGCAAATGCTACAAAAAATGCATAGCTTACATATTATTAGACATTTAAAGCAAGCTGTTAGGAGTCGTGAGAAAAATGTTCACGGTTTAATGGTAATTCTAATCTAGACTACCATAGTAATAATATATTGCGAGTGCACTTTAAACGTCTGCTTTCCTTTTCTGTCAGTAAATAATGGACAGCTATTCCGCTTCAGTGGATCCCCACCCTTGCGGTTCTGGTATGAATTACTTTCATTATAAGTGTCTGAACAGCGTTCATAGGCCTATCACTTTTTATGCTTCCATATACACAAACACTAATAGCAGTAACATGCTGTTGATAGTATTACAATTAATTGTTCACTGGATTTACAAAGTAGGCTAGTCCACTAATCTAGAGTATCTGAAAACAAAGTGAAACACTCTATTTATAGCCCAAGCCGGTGTACCGATTAAACATGCTATCTATCAGATTGTGCTACCAAAAATATATTTACATTGTTTTAAGGGTAAGTTAAGGGTTAGTATAGGTGTGGACGGTTAGGTTTAGGGTAGGGGTAGGTATGGACATTTTAAAAAGCCTCAACCCACATGAATAAGATGCTGGTAGCACAATCTGATAGGTAGCATTTTTCGCTATCGATTTGTGCTACCTATCTTTTTAATGGAAGGTAAAAAAAAAAAAAAAAATCATCACTTAACATAATGCACACTGGTTGTTCAACCTCACCAACTTATGTTTTCAGGAAGCATCAGCTTGTCCAGCCTCACATTCCTCATTCAGCTGGATGCCTGCTGGTATTTGACCTGGGCAATCGTGAGTCTTTCAGAGTCATTGAGCGTCAGTACACAGAGGTGTGTAATAGAGTGAATCCATACACTGTCCTTTTTGTACTTGTGGGACACAAGTGTGAAAGAAAAGAGCGGGAAGTGAATCAAGAGGAGGTGGAACAGTTCGCAAGTGCATTGGGAGCACCATACATCGAGGCCTCGGCTAGAACGGGTCACAATGTGGCAGAAGCTTTTGAGCTGTTGACCCGACGCATTTATCAGGGCTATCTGAGTGGAGAGGTAAGCTTGCATGAAAGATGGGGCAAGATTCACAAAGACAAGCCAGCTGAAAATAAGACCAATAAGAATGAGCCAGCTGAAAACAACAAATGTTGTGTCTTATAAAGTCAATGTGAAACTGTTTTTTTTTTTTTCATCTTTGGCCATTCAAAAGTAGCCATGTATTTTGATGAAAATTCTATTAAAGTGCCAGTGACTGATTTCTGATTTCAATACTTGATGTTTATAACTAATATCTATGTTTGAAAATATAATATAATCTTTACCAAATAAACTTGTGACATTTTCATACCTAATTTCACGTGATGATTCCATTCAAGTGTTTTGTGGTTATTTTTCATACATTCATATTTATTCATTTTTTTATTCATTATTTTTTGTTGTTTGTTATACATTTTTGTTTATTAAATATTTAACTCATTTAATTTTGCTTTTAGTTACTATAACGAATGTTGTAGTACTCAGCTTTTACCAAGTTTAAATACACAGCACAGATATTTTTATCCAAATAAGAGCAGAAAATACAAAAAGCCAGCAGATCCTAGTCATTATAGCTGGTTGCGTTATGGAAAATATTGTAGGCAACGTCTTCTAGTGGCCATCGAGAAAAATGCATGACATTACAAGCTGGTTTAAAGAAGCAAATGCTACAAAAAATGCATAGCTTACATATTATTAGACATTTAAAGCAAGCTGTTAGGAGTCGTGAGAAAAATGTTCACGGTTTAATGGTAATTCTAATCTAGACTACCATAGTAATAATATATTGCGAGTGCACTTTAAACGTCTGCTTTCCTTTTCTGTCAGTAAATAATGGACAGCTATTCCGCTTCAGTGGATCCCCACCCTTGCGGTTCTGGTATGAATTACTTTCATTATAAGTGTCTGAACAGCGTTCATAGGCCTATCACTTTTTATGCTTCCATATACACAAACACTAATAGCAGTAACATGCTGTTGATAGTATTACAATTAATTGTTCACTGGATTTACAAAGTAGGCTAGTCCACTAATCTAGAGTATCTGAAAACAAAGTGAAACACTCTATTTATAGCCCAAGCCGGTGTACCGATTAAACATGCTATCTATCAGATTGTGCTACCAAAAATATATTTACATTGTTTTAAGGGTAAGTTAAGGGTTAGTATAGGTGTGGACGGTTAGGTTTAGGGTAGGGGTAGGTATGGACATTTTAAAAAGCCTCAACCCACATGAATAAGATGCTGGTAGCACAATCTGATAGGTAGCATTTTTCGCTATCGATTTGTGCTACCTATCTTTTTAATGGAAGGTAGCACAATCTGAGCGGGTAGCACAAATCGTCAGAACACCGGCCTAAATTGTCTTTGTGTCCTAAGGGAGTCTGTTCCATTGTTGTTCACCTCCTGTTTGGAAAGCCACATAATTGTGGAAACGTTCTGTAGCAAACTAACCTGTAATGCACACTGGTGAGGAATATAGTGGGCTTGATTTCATCATGACATTGGAAGTCTTCCAGCCATCTTCAGCGGTTATGACCTGGGTGGAAGCATTCTCATGGTTGGCCTATTGAGAAAGACCTAGCTGAAATGTTTTTCCTCATTACATTTATGTCATGGCATGCATCACTTTTATGTGATGCATGCCATGAGCTGGCCTCAACAGGAAATGCTGGGCTTGTTCTGATATGATACTGCATGCTCATTCCCTCTGGTCTATGAGAAATTCCCAACTTTCTGCTGGTATTTATAAACTCCGCCTCTCACATAAACCCCGCCCAATAACAAGTATGAACAGGCAAAGATTAAAGAAACAGATGAGCTAGACAGAAGCTCCCACACCTACGACGATCAAACGGACTCTGCTCTATGCAGAAAAACACAGGAGAAGCTGAGGAACTCTAGGTTTATTTTTACCTATGTTTACAATGAGAACTTCAAGACCTCTAAGGTAAGAGGTTCTCTGAGGATCCTGGTGGAGTGACAGTCCTTAGTCAACCCTAGCCTTTTCATTCGCTGCTTTCTTTACATCTGGTTCAAGTCATGGATCTCACTTTGTGGCAGTACCAGTTTCGAATCATCATGCTAGGAGACTCCACCGTGGGCAAATCATCCATGTTGAAGCGCTACACTGAGGATCTGTTTCTGGAGTGCATCAACCAAACAGTCGGAGTGGACTTCTATGTACACTTCCTAGAGGTGGAACCTGGGGTGAGAGTCAAACTGCAGTTCTGGGATACAGCTGGTCAAGAGAGGTTTAGGTAAGTCCCAATTTTTAAAAGTTCTGCCATGAATTGAACAAACTATTCTCCAGATCGTGCACTTAAGGTCAGGGGTGCCAACGACCTGCAGAGTTTAGCTCAAACTTGCCCCAACACACCTGTCAGTTTCTAGTAATCCTGAAGACCTTGATTAGCCGGTTCATGTGTGTTTATTTGTGGTTGAAGCTAAACTCTACAAGACAGTGGCCCTCCAGTAGCAGTTTTGGACAACCCTGCTTAAGCTGAATAATTCACACAGGACTATTTTTTCCCTCACAGTAACTTCTGTACATTTAGTCATAAGTTCAGTGTCTAAAAACAGTTTAAAGAAGTTGCCTTGCTTGTGTAAAAAAGGATTGTGAAACATATTACTCATCACAGCAAAAAGTATTCTCATGATACTTTCAGGAAGTATTATGTCAGTCTACACTAAAAATGGATACACTGCCAGGCCGGGCTCCTCATCTTCTTAGAGCTGGAGTTGGGCCTGTTTTCTGGTATGCATAGATGATTTCAAACAGGCAGATCACCCAAAAAGTCATTCCAAAGTCTCATGGGTGGCAAGCCTTGTGACAAGGTGAAGGGGGCAATTAAAATACATTATTTATTTGATAATAAACATTGCTAAAACAGTGGTTTACTCGTATTACTACACTCTTGAAAATAAAGGTTCCAAAAAAGTGTTTTTTCCAGCATAAAATCGATAGAATCGATTGGGTTCCCCAATGGACCTTTCAGTGAGCAGTTCTGAAAAGAACTGCTTTCTAGGTGTGAAGAACATTTTAATCATCTAAAGAATATTTTTCTTCTATAGAACCTTTTGTGCAATGGAATTGTTCAATGGATGTTAAAGGTTCTTCATGGAACCAGAGATGCCAATAAAGAGCATTATTTTTAAGAGTTTACGAATGGAAGAAATTGCAATGCACAATAAGGTGGAACAAGTCCTGCCTTCTGAATAAAATAGCCAATTGCCAACTGGTAAAGTTATTGCATCACTGCATCAGTGGGGGAGGATAGGAAATTTGATGGTAAGAAATAACATTTATGCAACAGTTATTGCTGATTTTATGTTATTTAAATGTGAGTTTGACCAGCTGCTTTTCCAATTTCAGTATTTCCTCATTCAAGGAAATAGGAGTTGGTTTTGCATGCCTGAAATAGCTCCCCGGAGGCGTTGCAAATATGGCTGTGTTAACTGACTTTCCTTTTAAAGGATTTTAGAATGATACAGATTATCCAGTGAGAAAGAACATTGTTTATTTGGATTTTATTCATTGGGAATTGATTGGTTGGTAAAAAGAAGTCATTATGTACGACAATGGAGTCAGAATAAATGCAATGTATAAACAGATTATTGATTATCATAGTGCAGAGGTCTGGAAAAAATAACCCTAAAACTATGGTACATTTGCAGGTCTGTGACTCGCTCCTACTACCGTAACTCAGTCGGAGGTCTTCTGGTGTTCGATCTGGGCAACCGCAAATCTTTCGAAAACGTGCAGCAGTGGTATGCAGAGGTGTGCGAACGTGTACAACCCTACACTGTGCTCTTTGTGCTGGTGGGACACAAAAGTGACCAGGTCAAAGCTGGAGAGCGAGCCGTGGACCGAACTGAGGCAGAAAAGCTCGCAAGCCAATTGGGAGCGCCGTACATCGAGGCCTCATCAAAAACGGGTCACAATGTGAAAGAGGCCTTTGAACTCTTGACCCGGAGGGTTTATCAGGGCATAAAAAGTGGAGAGATCCAGTTGCGTGAGGGGTGGGATGGAGTCAAGAGCTCAGCACCTAGAGCCCAAACACTCCAGAAGATACAAAACAATGAAGCCGCTGAGAAAAACAAGAGCTGTGCTTGTTAACTTACAATATGTGGTTCTCGCAAATTTTGTGTAGATCTTCAAATAGGATGGATGTGTCTGACATTGCCAAATACACATAAAAGCAAACGTAAAGGTATTTCAGATTGTAGGTATATACAGTAGTCAACATTTGAAGTGGATCAAAAAAGTTAATCAAAGCTGTCCTAAGACAAGAACGCTTTTAGGTTTTAGGACAACTTTGATGAAAGGTTTTGATCCGCTTTAAATGTTTAGTGTATTAGAATTTGTGCTTATCTGCAAGATATCAGCATTTGCGAACCACACTGAAACTCATGATTAACGTCATATATACATGCATATGTACATTTAATTTCCAATTGCTTGTTCGTATTTCTGGGATCAACATTGGATAAAGGTGTCTTTATTAGTGTGGCAACAGTGTTACTGCATCAGTTAAAGATTTTACCTGCTATTCATCATATTATGTCATATTATTAAGGCCACGTATTTCCATAAGCATGGATGTATTTTTGCTGATACAGACATTCTGGAGGTATTTAAGAGTTAAACTATTCACTAATATATACATACATAGATGCATTGCTGAAACAGTTTATGTTAGTTGTAATTTCTGAAATTATGTCCCACAAAATATGAGTGAGTTCAGACTGAATAAATCACAATTAGTTGTTTTTTATTCATGAAAAACAAGAGACTGTAAAACACTGTGATACATGGCAAAAAACAGTTTATACTCCGTTCAACTCCACAGAAATGTTCAAATCTGCCCACAAATCCACAGCAGAAAGGGTTTATGCACCATTTCCCAATATATCACACATATATAACTCCCACTAATCAATTAACCATTCTGCATTATGTCACTAGTTCCAATGCAATGAATTAAATGGGGAAGTGGTATTTATTTCTCTGGTAAAAATGACTGTTTACCTTTAGAAAGTCACACACTAAAGATGTCCTCTATTGTACTAAATATTACTTAAGTGATAAAGTCTATAACACCAAACACTATGAACAAAATCAGATACATGGTGATTGTAATTGTGCATAGCTATTAATGCCAGCTGAGCAAACGTTGCGTGACTGCATGGCGGGTCAGCTATACACGAAATATGAATGAAAATGCGGTTTGTGGGAGAAACAATAAACAACTGATGTTTTTCACAGAAATCCGTGAGATTCTATAATATAATAAACCCCCGTACAGCACCAAGTCAGAGACCAAGGTGCCAAAATAAAATGTTCACATGGTGGTTTTAACACAAAGTGAACTGTACAGACAATTTACGTCACTTCCTATGCACCTTTTGAATGCGAAGTCAACAGAACTGTACTGTAAATAGTACAACGCATTCTGCCTCTCTGATTAACATAACATATATAGGTTCAATCCCTCTCCACTTCCAAAACCTGCAGAAAAAAAAATGTTTATTGGTGCTTCCGATCTTGCTACTTTTTGGTTGTTTTGCGGATCAATGCCATTCTCTGAAAGAACAGAAAAAGATATTTAGGTATGCAAGTCATGTGTTTTTCATCATATCAGTTCAAGTGCATAAGAACGATAGCTGACCTGTTTGTGAGCTTCTGTGGTGCAAGCCTTCTTATACGGTCGGATCTCATCTGAACCAAAACCAGGAATCCACATGTTCCACTGTCGTTCTGTGATGCAATATTGGATTAGGGACTATATTACCTTATATTATTCTTTAGAATGGTAATAAAACAAAATGTAAAAACAAAGTTCAATGTAAGCAGCATAAAAAAAAATTGTGTATTTATTTGAATTCATAAAAAGGCACTCAAACCACTTGGAACTGTCTATGCAAGAGCCTCACCCAGGTGTAGCTGGACATCTTTCACTTCAAGAGTGTTTGACTTCCTGTGTCGGGCAAGTTGGCACGCCGCCGTCACCACGCTCTCAATGAAGTCATCGGCAATCTGCAAGAGCATCTGAAGGGAAAGGGAAATGACTCCGTTCAACAGACAGCAGCATAGTGACACTACTTGGGGTTGGTAAGATTTTTACTATTTTTGGAAGAAATCTCTTTTACTCACCCAAGGCTGCATTTATTTGATAGAGTAAAAATAGTAATATTGTGAAATTATTTAAAAGAACTGTTTTCTGTTTTAATACATTTTATAAGGCAATTTATTCCTGTGATTAATCTAATATGCTGATTAATGAAGAAACATTCATTATCAATGTTATAAACATATGTTTAGCTTGCTATTTTTGTGGTAACCATGATACACTTTTTTAAGATTCTTCAAAGAACAGAAGGTTCAAAAGAACAGTATTTACTGGAAACAGGATTTTTTTGACATTATATATGTCCTTACTAGGGGGTGCTCCGATTGATCGGCTACCGATCACTATCGGCCGATAATCACATTGGGATGATTGATCGGCGGTCTCTAAAAGGCCGATCTCAAAAAAACGATCTCAAGCTGATGACGCTGCCGTGAGAGGTTTGGCATGACATGCAGTGGCACCGTCTCAGTCTCTGTCAGGCGCGGGTAAAATAATTATAATGCTGAAGGTGAGGTACTCGTACTCATATTATTTCATTAAATAACTTATAAAGTCATTTGAAAACCTCGTGTGAGACGTAATTTCACAAACAGGGTGAGTGAATCACCGCGTGCGTGCTCTCACTCTTTCTCTCTCAAAATACGCAAATGGCTTCAAATCACCACACATAGCGTCTGTCTAAGCGAGCTGCACGCTGCACAGTTGACACAGCAATTGTCGCTTGCACAGTCGAGGCAGTGTCACATCGTCACTAAAGTTTATAAATTGCATTTCTTTTTAAAGGGGTCATATGATGCTTTTTTAAAGATCATTATTTTGTGTATTTGGTGTAACAGAATATGTTGACATGCTTTAATGTTCAAAAAACACATTATTTTTCAAATACTGTACATTATTGTAGGTCCTCTATGCCCCGCCTCTCTCAAACGCTTCGTTTTCTACAAAGCCCCCTCCTTCCGACAAGCGCAGTCTGCTCTGATTGGCCAGCTGACCCAGTGCATTGTGATTGGCCGAACACCGCAAGCGCTCGTCGGAAATGTAACGCCCCTTACCATAATCGCGAGCTTCATCTTTCAAAATAAATGTAAAGACAGTAAATAATGTCATTAGTTTTACCATCAGTTCAAGCCCGAAAGGGGAACAGAGTCGCGTGACAGACAGTGATGAAGCTGGTATGTGTTTACAGTACACAAGCCGATGTGACCCTGCTTCAGGGATCTTATCTATGCACAATCAGCTTGTAACACTCCAAAGAGAAAGGAAAACTTGAAATCGCATCATATGACCCCTTTAATTCTTGCCAGTGTTTAACCATTCAGCGCTCTCGCACTCTCCTGGAGACCGAGCGCTCATGCACACTCGCACTCGCAGCGCACACACATAATGCCAGGTTCACATTACTCCGTTTGCAGTACATACATGGTGCGTATTTTTTCCGCGCTCATGTTAACGGATTGAAGCTTTCACTGCACACGGTTGCTGTCCGGCAGTGCGTTCAGGAGCGGTGCGTCTGCAGCAGTGCAGAGATCGTTTCCCTAGGTTTAAAGGAAAAGAGCACTTTTAGATAAAGAAGGCAATAATCGATGGCACTTGTGGAGGTAGGAAAACAAAGTTCTTTATGAACAGCATGATTGCTTGTAATAAAGACTTCAATGCAAAAGGAAAGGCAGTAGAGCTGACTATTTCT